GCCTTTTTAATTTTCTATCCACGTGACTTTACCGAAAGAACCAAAGAGTATGGATTCCTGCAGTCACGAAAGCTTAAAATCTAGATTAAGTGTGCAGTGTTCTTTTAACACCGTTGTTGAAAACAAATCTCACCGTGGTTTCCGTAGCTTCGGCCACCAGGGGGTGAGGGCAATCCACGCATTGCCTGTCCCACGCGTCACCGCCTTCTCCCACAATGTTGGCATGATGCGCATCTACGTCATAATACTACGTACGTCATAATGTCACGTCATAATACTACCGGATCGAAACAATACACACTTATACGATAATTCACACTTTTTCTATATTTGAAGCTTTCGTGACTGCAAGGAATCTTAGGTTTTTCGGTAAAGTCACGTAGGTAAAACATTAAAATTAATAAAGGTAAAATAAAATAAAAATCACGACGTTTCGGAGGCAACACAAGCTTCCGTCTTCAGGTGGAACCGTCACAGCCACGACAGTTGTATCAAGTAATAATTCACACGCCTGTCCACCCATATGGATTACTCCGTATTATTGTACAGGGAAACGTCCATTCGGCGTATAGCCGTTTCAATACGGGGACAAAAAAATGTGGTCTATGAGTTTGTGTTTCTCCCTTGTGATGGGACTTTGGGGCCGTCCATAAATGACGTCACGCACCTGGGGGGGGGGGGGTCAGACATTTGTGACGATGTGTGACGAAGGGGGGGGGGGTGAGAAATGTGACGTCACATCAAAATGAGCAACTTTAAATAAATATTGGTAACACGTTCTACTTAATTAAATAGACTTTTTAATAAATGTTTTATCCTACAACATCAGAGTGCAGCGCCACATTAAATACGCACTACAATGACAATAGTTTAAAGCGATTTGAAGCATGTATTTTTTTTTTGGGGGGGGGCAGAGCTTTGTTACGTCATAGTTGAGGGGGGGGGTCTGATTTTTCGTGACGCCGTGTGACGAGGGGTGGGGGGTCAAAAATCGTCCAAAACCGCGTGACGTCATTTATGGACGGACCCTAAGATAGGGAAGCATTGACGTCATGCACGTTCAGACAAAGGTTCTTTCCACACCGTGTAGCCTTAACAGACTGTTGGGGCAAGTGGCTGTCAGCGAGCAGCACCTATAAAGGTGACACCGCGGCATACGAAAGGGTTGGGTGACCAGCACCACGCCCGGCCGCCTTTGTCTCCCCAGTGGCGATGTTTCGTTTCTACCGCACCAGATACTCATTTGAGGCCGAGTCGACCTAGGGGAATGGTCCCACGACCGTTGCAGACAATCGTCACCGGTGTTGGTGGCCGTGGGGCGTGAATCGAAATCGGGTGGCCAGGTTCGTAGCGACAGCGCCGCGAATCGCTGCAACAAACCAAAGACAAAGGTCCCCCCGTGTAGCCTGAGCAGACTGTTGGGGCAAGTGCCCTTAGCGAGTGTGCCAGCGCCACGCGCGGCCGCCTTTGTCTCTCCCAAGTGGCGACGTTTACCACGCTACGGCTACCAAAGAGACGCACGTGGCGCGTCACCGGGCGTGCGTGTGTCACGCCCGGCCAGAGCAAGGTTCGCAGAGCCATAATCGTAGGTGGGGACACGGCACAGTGCCGCAACGACTCCCCTAATCTCATCCACGCTGGGTGTCAGGGTGTGAGTCAAATCGCACCCGTGTGTGCGTGTGTGTGTGTCTATATACAGCGGTTAGCGCAACGCTGCGCTATGAAACCCGGCGACACGGGTTCGATTCTCGCTCACGGTCGACACCAGTGACGATTATCTGAACCGGTCCTGGGCCTCCTCTAGGTCGACTCAGCCTCAAATGAGTACCTGGTGCGGTGTGTAAACATCGCCACTTGGGAGGCAAAGGCGGTCGGGCGTGGTGCTGGCCACCCACCCCCTCGTGTGCCGTTCCGGCCTTCATAGGTGCTCGCTAACAGCACTTGCCCCTACAGTCTGTTAAGGCTATACGGGGGGTCTTTGTACAAGTTGCTCTGCGTGTGATGCGGCTCTGGAACTATTTTGGTCAAAGACAAAACTAAACACATTCCTGCGGAGGGAGCTGGTAGGAACGTTGGGTTGCTCGGTCAATGGCCTGCAGGGTCAACGGCGGCGTGGTGTATTCCGCAAATATGCCCGACTGTGAGGGCGGGCACAAGCCGGCGTGAGTAGGTTACACGTTGAGTTTTATAAGGGCACCACGGGGTGACCAGCCCCTCCCCACCCAGCCCCAGCCTCCCCACCCAGCCCCACCCTCCCCTCTCCACCCAGCCCCTCCCCACCCTCCCCACCCAGCCCCTCCCTTCACGACGGACGGACGGACACAATAATCCCCTGTGGGCTGGTGGAACCAGGAGGTTCCAACCAGTATCAGGTAGCTCTTTTTCATACTATTCAGTTCTTTCGGTAAAGTCTCGTAGATATAAAATTAATAGATCACGACGTTTCGATCGCAACACAAGCAACCGTCACCAGGTGAGACAAACACAGCAGGAGAACTGCTGAGGCAGGAGCTAGCTCTTCCTCTGCATCTTCTGGGTCGTCGTCTTCTGCTTCTTCCTTAAAAGGTTGCCGAGCCCTGTGCGAGACGGGTCCTCGCCCATAAACATCCGCTGATGGAACCTCAGGCTGTTGACATGAAAATTGTTTTGTACCCTTCTATCTGGCAACAAAACTGACACCTTTTTACAAGGAGTCATGTTTGTATAGACCGCAATACCTGCAGTCATAATACAAACAAAAGACATAACTCTGATAATGTGCACTGTCCTTGAAGTTGATTGGTCCACACCCGAGACAGCTTTCCTTAGAGCCTAGTCTCACATGGGGTTGGTCCAGATGACGCCAAAAGGCGCACAACTCAAGGACAATGCACCATCAGAGTATGAGAGCTCGGGGCAAGCATCTACACTATGGGAACCTCATTTGCCAGTGAAAATATGATAATTGGTTTTTTACCCTTCTATCTGGTATTGCGGTCTATACAAACATGACTCCTTGTAAAAAGGTGTCATTTTTGTTGCCAGATAGAAGGGTAAAAAAACAATTATCATATTTTTACTGGCAAATGAGGTTCCCATAGTGTTGACATGAAGTCTGCGGTCCGCGTGCGCTGAGTTCCAAGCACGAACTCCTGCACCGTGACTGATTTTTCGCTCGTGCAGATCTGTTGATTCCAGCGGCGTTTCAAAGTTGGCCCCAGTTCGATATTTTATGGAACATTGACCACCACCACCACCCACCCCCCATCCCCGAGACAGGATGAGGATCGCTGGTTAGATTTTATAGAAGAAAAATAAATATATGTATTTTTAATCCTTGTTCTTAATCGTGTATTTGTTATTTCGTTTTTAATTGTGGGGTTTTAAAATATATATATATATAAATGGTGTGTTTGTTTTAGCGATAAGGCAATAAATATCTAAATCGATGCTTTCGGCCACGGCCTTGCCCAAAGCCCTCCCAGCCTGGCTCAACAACTGAATAACTCACCACAAGTGTACTGGTAAGTGGAGCTGATGGGCAATGTTAGTCTATGGGCAATGCTAGTCTATGGGCAATGTTAGTCTATGGGCAATGTTAGTCTATGGGCAATGTTAGTCTATGGGCAATGTTAGTCTATGGGCAATGCTAGTCTATGGGCAATGTTAGTCTATGGACAATGTTAGTCTGTGGAAAACATTAGTCTATGGGCAATGTTAGTCTATGGACAATGTTAGTCTGTGGAAAACATTAGTCTATGGGCAATGTTAGTCTATGGGCAGTGTTAGTCTATGGGAAACATTAGTATATGGGCAATGTTTGTCTATGAGCAAATGAAGTCTACGGGCAGTGTAAGTCTATAGGCAATTACACCATTGGAACCTCATTTGCCAGTAAAAATATGATAATTGGTTTTTTACCCTTCTATCTGGCAACAAAACGGATATACACCGTGGAGATGATCCACACCACGGACTTGATGCACACAGCACCGAGGCGCTATTGTGGTTTGTTGCCAGATGTAAATTGCAGGTGAGGGAGCGGTGGTGCAGCGGTTAGCGCTACAAAAGCGCTACGAACCCGGCGACCCGAATTCGATTCCCGCTCACGGCCAACACCGGTGACGATTATATTTATCTGAACCGGTCCTGGGCCTTCCCTAGGTCGACTCAGCCTCAAATGAGTACTGAGGAGACAGAGGCGGCCGGGCGTCGTTGCTGGCTACCCACCCCCTCGTGTGCCGTGCCGGCCTTCACAGGTGCTCGCTCACAGCACTTGCCCCGACAGTCTGTTCAGGCTACACGGGGGGATCTTTGTCTTTGGCGTCGTGTAGTTTACAATTTTGTATTTCCTCCTCAACGCGTCAACGTTTTTTTTTTGTCCGGGCTCCTCACTGATTACAGATGCCGGACTACGACCCTCCACCCCCCAGCGTGCGTGCCTGTGGGTTACCCTCATGGGTCAAATGTGAACGGCTTTGAGACTGGTGGTGGGTGAGTAGGGGAGTTGGGGGCAATAGAAGGCAGAAGCAGCAGAAGCAGCGGCAGCAGTAGCAGCAGCAGCAAGATCGCAGTTAAATTTCGATTTAAAGCTTTCGTGACTGCAGGGATTCATCTTCTTGGTTCTTTCGGTAAAGTCACGTAGAAGGGAAGTAATAAAATAATAAAAATAAAACATAATAAAATAATTCTCACGACGTTTCGGCCTGAGGACGGCTGCTTGCGTTGTGGCCGAAACGTCGTGAGAATTATTTTATTATGTTTTATTTTTATTATTTTATTACTTCCCTTCCACGTGACTTTACCGAAAGAACCAAGAAGAAGAAAAATCGCAGTTCTACGCCTCTCACAGAACCGACTCCTCCGATGGCAAAGCCGCTCCGGCCCGGTTAGGGTCCTGTCGGATAATTTGTGGTCATTTGGTGAGATTACTCACGAATCCAGACTTTGCACCCCCCCCCCACCAGCAACACCCACCCACACCGCACCCATCCACGGCATCAGGTCCAAGTGGTACCTGGGCTGAGTGGGACACGCGCGCGCCACGTGGAGGCAGAGCCAGCGAACTCTAATTTTTCTCTCTTTTTTTTTTCAATATCAACCAAACTTGGCTTTTAATTTAAGAACACAGCACTTAGTAGTACATTTTGTACAAGGTACTCGTATGTAAATGATTACAATATCTTACAATCGTATGAACATTTCACACACTCTCCGTCTCTTTTTTTTACGATCAGTGGAAACAAGAAGATGCTCGGTGTATTCGGCACTTTGCTTTCGTAAATTTTTATTTATTAACATTTTTAAACTTTGCTTTATGTTAAACCCCACCTCTCGCTCACTCTCTCGCTCACTCTCTCTCCGTCTCTCAGTCCGTTGCCGAGGGACCGTTTCAATCCGCGCCGAGGATTATCACATCCGCGACGGGCTTCCGCTGCTGCTGCTGCTGTTATTGTTGCGGGCAAAGGTGACCCATCTCTCCCAGCTCGCGTGCCCGCCACGGCTTCTCGTTAACGTCGTGAAAGAGGTGATCCCCCCCCCCTACCATCCCACACACCTCACCGGCATCCCCCTCGTCGGTACGTCCTCTTGCGAGAGCTCTCGCGTCGAAGGGTTGTCGTGGATGACGCCGCGTGCACATTGGCAGAGTGTCGTGCTGGGAACGTTGGTCTCGGATGGAAACTCACTTCTTGAGAAACTGATTGTTTTGTTGAGTGTTGTTGTGTTTACCCCCCTACGGTTAGCACGGTTGGCTGCGTACGGTACAAAAGAAGTTCAACATACATTCCCCGATTAGCACGGTAGGATATGTGCGGTGCGAAAAAAGTTCAACATACATACCATCAATTAGCACATTTGTCTACGTACGGTGCGAAAGAAGCCCAGCACACATACCTTCAATTAGCACGGATAGCAACGTACGGTGAAGGTAGGTAGGGTGCGAAAGAAGTTCAACATACATACCATCGATTAGCACGGTTGGCTACGTACGGTGCGAAGGAAGTTCAAACGACATTCCAGAATCAGAATCTTTATTTGTTTAGAGTGCGAATCTTTATACTGGTAGGAACGAAGTGGACCAGACCACCAATAGATTAATGTGTCCGTCCGTCCGTCCGTCCGTCCGTCCGTGGGAGGGGTGGTGTTGAGGGTGGTGTTGGAAATGAAAGACTACGAGTCTTTAAATCTCACAGCGTTTCTTGTCAAAACAAACACTTTCAATTAACGTTACACTAGAATACAGTAATTTTTTCTTTAACTCCTCTATACCCGGTCGATATCTCTGTACCGGTACTAAGTATTATTCCTACCAGCCCACCCCGCAGGGTCCTGTTTTCGGCTGGAGGAATTCCATGAGCTGCGACGGCTCCACTTTCACAGGTGCCCAACCCTCAGGCACGATGTCCCTGCATGGGTTGTGGAGCGTTGAGTCGTCGACCCAGCCAGCTAAGGTCGAGGTCTTCTCCCGGTCAGTATCGGTGACGATGATCTCAACCAGACATTGAGTGAGTACTACAATATAAATTTCGATTTAAAGCTTTCGTGACTGCAGGGATTCATCTTCTTGGTTCTTTCGGTAAAGTCACGTAAAACATAAAAATAAAACATAATAAAATAATTCTCACGACGTTTCGGCCACAACGCAAGTAGCCGTCCTCAGGTGGAGAACAGGTCTGTCGAGGAGACAGAGTCTGAATGTCGTGAGAATTATTTTATTATGTTTTATTAAAATGTTTTACTTTAATTTTTTATTATTTTATTATTTCCATTCTACGTGACTTTACCGAAAGAACCAAGAAGATACTACAATATCGTGATTGTTTTGGGGTTAGATCACGTCAAGGCTGTAGCCATGGAGTCAACATTCGGGGGGACCAAATCTTCCAGGCGGTCTGGTGGTCCCTCCACCCAGAACAAAATCGAAATTTGAAAACGAATTTCCTGCATAAAATATTAAAAAATTCACTAACACGTAGGATGGACTTTTTTTTTTTTACAATAATGTCTAATAGTGTATTGTAATAAATTGCTCTGTTTTTTCTTTTTTACCTTTTCTTGTTTCATTGTATGTAATGGCAGAGATTCGGGATTAATACAGTACACCATAACCACAATCATATAAACTATTGGGGGGGGGGGGGCATTTGGAGCATATTTGAATATTATAATTACGGCCTTGGATCACGTAAATATAAACGTGTCGCTAAACCCGCCACCACCCGACACAGCTAATCTGCAAGCTTTGCCACGCAAACAGAACGTGCCAATTCGTCACTAGTACAGCACTAACCGGTGAGTTGGAGAGTCAATCTACAACATTTACAATCTGAGTACGACGTTTCGCCAGTAATTACAACCAGCTTCAACTAGCTTTACCAGTTCTAGATTTGAAGCTTTCGTGACTGCAAGGATTCATACTCTTAGGTTTTTTCGGTAAAGTCACGTAGGAAAAAAATAATAATAAAATAAAATAATAATAAATGACACGCAGACACAGACACACAGACACATTTACACGCGGACCCATTGACACGCAGACACACAGACACACAGACACATTAAATCACGACGTTTCGGAAGACGGATACTTGTGTTGCCTCCGATACGTTCTGATTTAATTGAGTTGTTTTCATTTATTATTATTTTATTTTAATATAATTCTTTACCTACGCGACTTTACCGAAAAAACCTACGAGTATACAGTAGCTTTCTCAGGCCTGATGAAGCTAGGTGTAATTACTGGCGAAACGTCGTACTCAGATTGTAAATGTTGTGACTTGGCTCTCCAACACACCGGTGTGCTGTACTAGTATACTACACTATACACTACACTATACACTACATTACTATACACTATAAACTACACTATACATTACACTATACTATACACACTATACACTACACTATACACTACACTATACACTACACAACACAATGCACTACACTATACACTACACTATACACTACACTATACACTAGTGCTGCACTAGTGACGAATTGGCCACGTTCTGTTTACGTGACAACCCTTACTAGTTGGCTGTGTCGGGTGGTGGCGGGTTTAACGACACACTTACATATTTACGCGATTTAACCCCCCAAAAACCCTCTACTTTGAATGATATTGGTCGCGAATGCCGACTACGCGTTGAACTGAGCGATTACTGCACCATTTGTGAAGCGTAAATGTGCCATGTAAAAGGTCAACTACAGAACGTCTTCGGTGACAGAACAAAAATCAACAGACAAACTGCATTGTTTAAGACTGACTAAGTGGGATATCAACTCAAATGTACGCCGAGCGTGGTGCTGGCCACCCACCCCCTCGCGTGCTGCCACTCGCCACCAACGAGCACTTGCCCCGACACTCGGCACTGCCTGGGGAACCTTTGTCTTTGTGCGCATCAGGCTTCACAAAATGATATTCTTAGGTTTTTTCGGTAAAGTCGCGTAGGTAAAAAATTTTAATTAATGAAAGTAAAATAAAAATTAGATAAAAATCACGACGTTTCGGAGGCAACACAAGCTTCCGTCTTCAGGTGGAACCGTCACAGCACGATTGCTGTATCAAGTGAGAGAAATTCCAAGAAAACAGGCCTTGTATATATACTGGTTGAGGGTGGGAGGAGTCAGCCGCACCTAGTTTACACAACAAAGGCTCATTCCTAACAGCGTGCTTCAGCCGCACCGAACCTCACAAAAATAATATCCAGGGCCTACCTTGGCTCCTCCCACCCTCAACCAGTATATATACAAATACTGTGTTCTTGGAATTTCTCTCACTTGATACAGCAATCGTGCTGTGACGGTTCCACCTGAAGACGGAAGCTTGTGTTGCCTTCGAAACGTCGTGATTTTTATTTTATTTTTTATTTTACTTTAATTAATTTTTTTTACCTACGTGACTTTACCGAAAAAACCTAAGAATATGAATCCTTGCAGTCACGAAAGATTCAAATCTAGAATTCACAAAATGATTTCGTCTTTCGACGTGATCGCTCCACTGCTGGATGAATGTTCCTTTCACTGAATCCCTCCACCAGTCCCCATGCCCCCCCTACCAACCCCCCCCCCCCCCCCCTGTCAGCGGCACTTCGGCTTTGCTCTGAAGTTTATTTATTTAGGGGGCCTTGAGTCACCTAACGCACACGAGACGGCCCCCCCCCAAAAAAAAACCGAGGTGGAAAATCAGCCGCCCCCCCCCCGTCCTTCCATCGGGCAGTCGATCGATTCACTCTGTAACACGATTTTTGTTAATGGGTAGTAAGCGTTATTTCCTAATTGCGTATGCTTCAAAAGTATAGAAAGTGGCTATTGTTGCCCACAAACTTTGCTTTTGTGACCAGGACTTGACGTGAAGGAATGACACAAATGCACACCACGTTCTCTCATTGACTATAGGTACATTTCATAATATCAATGTCCTGGTCACAAAAGCAAAGTTTGTGGGGATTAACAGCCACTTCCTGTACTGTTGATACATAAGCAATTGGGAAATAACATTTACTACCCAGGAACAAAAAAACGAATTTGTTACACAGTTTCGATTTAAAGCTTTCGTGACTGCAGCGATTCATCTTCTTGGTTCTTTCGGTAAAGTCACGTAGAAGGGAAATAATAAAATTATAATTAATTATGTTATTATGTAAAAAATGTATTATTTTATTATTTCCCTTCTACGTGACTTTACCGAAAGAACCAAGAAGATTGTTACACAGTGTTATTAATGTAGTGCATGATTAACTTGCTTTTGTGTCCTGGTAACAAAAGCAAAGTTTGCGGGGAATAATAATCGGCACTTTCAGTACGTTTGAGAAATACGCAATTAGACAATAACACTTACTACCCAGGAACAAAACATATATACATTTTTCGATTTACAGCTTTCGTGACTGCAGGGATTCATCTTCTTGGTTCTTTCGGTAAAGTCACGTAGAAGGAAAATAATTGTATTTTATTTTATTATTTTCCTTCTACGTGACTTTACCGAAAGAACCAAGAAGATATACACATTTGTGTTACACAGATCATCGCTGATGATGTCCGTGCACCCCGCGTCTCTGTCTGTAGCTCAAGTGATACGCCGCTATAGATGGACTCAGCGCCGTCATGGAAATGTAGAATTTGCGCGTCAGATTCGCGTTTTTGTTGTTGTACGGATTCCTGTGCCTTGTCAACTTTGTTCATCACGGTGTCCGCGTGTCTGTGTGTACACGTGTCAATGTGTACGCGTGTCAATGTGTCTGTGTGTCAATGTGTCCGCGTGTCAATGTGTCCGCGTGTCAATGTGTCTGTGTGTCAATGTGTCTGTGTGTCAATGTGCCTGTGTGTTAATGTGTCTGTGTGTCAATGTGTCTGTGTGTCAATGTGTCTGTGTGTTAATGTGTCTGTGTGTCAATGTGTCTGTGTGTTAATGTGTCTGTGTGTCAATGTGTTTGTGTGTTAATGTGTCTGTGTATCAATGTGTCTGTGTGTCAATGTGTCCGAGTATCAATGTGTCTGCGTGTCAATGTGTCCCGGTGTCAATGTGTCTGCGTATCAATGTGTCCGCGTGTCAATGTGCCTGCGTGTCAATGTGTCTGTGTGTCAATGTGTCTGCGTGTCTGTGTATCTGTGTGTCAATGTGTCCGTGTGTCAGTGTGTCCGTGTGTCAATGTGTCTGTGTGTCAATGTGTCTGTGTGTCAATGTGTCTGTGTGTCTGTGTGTCAATGTGTCTGCGTGTCAGTGTGTCCCTGTGTCAATGTGTCTGCGTGTCAATGTGTCTGTGTGTCAATGTGTCTGTGTGTCAATGTGTCTGTGTGTCTGTGTGTCAATGTGTCTGCGTGTCAGTGTGTCCCTGTGTCAATGTGTCTGCGTGTCAATGTGTCTGTGTGTCAATGTGTCTGTGTGTCAATGTGTCTGTGTGTCAATGTGTCTGTGTGTCTGCGTGTCAATGTGTCTGCGTGTCAGTGTGTCCCTGTGTCAATGTGTCTGCGTGTCAATGTGTCTGTGTGTCAATGTGTCTGTGTGTCAATGTGTCCGTGTGTCAATGTGTCTGCGTGTCAATGTGTCCGTGTGTCAATGTGTCTGTGTGTCAATGTGTCTGCGTGTCAATGTGTCTGTGTGTCAATGTGTCTGTGTGTCAATGTGTCTGCGTGTCAATGTGTCTGCGTGTCAATGTGTCTGTGTGTCAATGTGTCCGCGTGTCAATGTGTCTGTGTGTCAATGTGTCTGCGTGTCAATGTGTCTGTGTGTCAATGTGTCTGTGTGTCAATGTGTCTGTGTGTTAATGTGTCTGTGTGTCAATGTGTCTGTGTGTCAATGTGTCTGTGTGTTAATGTGTCTGTGTGTCAATGTGTCTGTGTGTCAATGTGTCTGTGTGTCAATGTGTCTGTGTGTCAATGTGTCTGCGTGTCAATGTGTCTGTGTGTTAATGTGTCTGTGTGTTAATGTGTCTGTGTGTTAATGTGTCTGTGTGTCAATGTGTCTGTGTGTCAATGTGTCTGTGTGTTAATGTGTCTGTGTGTCAATGTGTCTGTGTGTCAATGTGTCTGTGTGTTAATGTGTCTGTGTGTCAATGTGTCTGTGTGTCAATGTGTCTGTGTGTTAATGTGTCTGTGTGTCAATGTGTCTGTGTGTTAATGTGTCTGTGTGTCAATGTGTCTGTGTGTCAATGTGTCCGAGTATCAATGTGTCTGCGTGTCAATGTGTCCCGGTGTCAATGTGTCTGCGTGTCAATGTGTCCGCGTGTCAATGTGTCTGCGTGTCAATGTGTCTGTGTGTCAATGTGTCTGTGTGTTAATGTGTCTGTGTGTCAATGTGTCTGTGTGTCAATATGTCTGTGTGTAAATGTGTCTGTGTGTTTATGTGTCCACGTGTTTTTGTGTCTGCGTGTCAATGTGTCTGTGTGTCAATGTGTCTGCGTGTCAATGTGTCTGCGTGTCAATGTGTCTGTGTGTCAATGTGTCTGTGTGTCAATGTGTCTGTGTGTCAATGTGTCTGTGTGTTAATGTGTCTGTGTGTCAATGTGTCTGTGTGTTTATGTGTCCACGTGTTTTTGTGTCTGTGTGTCAATGTGTCCGTGTGTCAATGTGTCTGTGTGTCAATGTGTCTGTGTGTCAATGTGTCTGCATGTCTGTGATGTTCCCAGCGTTTCATTGCCCGTGTTTCCAGTGATAAATTTAAAGAGACCGCGACACACCTGGGCGGTGAGACCGCGCCGCTGTACAGGACGACGCGACCTGACTGCCATACCCACGAGTAATCCCACCGACTCACTCGACGTACGTACGCATGTGGAACTTTTTCGCACCGTACATGGCCACCAGTGCTAATCGGAGATACGAGATGATGATGAATGTTGGACTTCTTTCACACCGTACGTAGCCAACCGTGCTAATCGGAGGTACGGGATGATGATGATGATGTACGTTGAACTTCATTCGTATCATACGTGGCAAGCCGTGCTAATTGTAGGTGCGTGATGATGTATGTTTGCATTGTCTGTTGTTGTCGCGTTCTGACCCCGTGCCCCTACGGGACATCTGTGAAAAGGAGCTTCACACCTCATCGGATTCCTCCAGTATAATTAGAGATTTTGATTCTGATGTTGAACTCTTTTCGCACCGTGATTAATCCGGAGAATCACGGGTCGGGTTGGGTAATTCAGAAACAGAATCTTTATGTATCCTGGATGTGCAATCGAATGAGCTAGAAAACTATTTTTTTCACAAATTGTCCAGTAGGGGGCCACGGGGTCACGAGGTTACACCAACAAACACAATACAGCAACCACGATAGCAGTGCACAGTATAGGCAAAGATAACAAATCACCACAAAATACATGTACAAATAAAACTAACTTATATTTTGTCATCTTGTCATGTAAAGCCCACTGAGCTGTTAGCTACTTTTTCAGGGGCGGCCTGGCCACAAATTATAGCTCAACAAAATGGGCTTAACCATCACGTGGGTATTTAGAGCAGCCCATAATGACTCTTAAAAACGTCACAGTTTTCCTCATTAACATCCCCGTTCCCCAGTCTCCATCCCCCGCGCTCTCTCAGTTCCCGCGATCATTAACGCGCAGATCCACCTCCAAAGGTCCCGCTCGGGTTTTTATTTAACTTTACAATTTTCTCCGCCATAAACCACCGCACGGCGTTTTGCCCACATCGGTGAAACATTACCACCAGCGCCACCAGCAACCACCACGACCACCATCGGCACAACGAAAACGAATCGGCGGTGACCCGACGCTTTTCTCACGAGGCACGGGGGCTCCGAGCCAAAGCCGTTTTCTTTGCGAGGACGCATGAACGAAAACCGACAAATAATAACAATCGTCATCATCATCATCGCAAGCCGATCGGAGTCATCTTTCGGCCAACGCCGTTAACAACAATACCAACCAACCAAACGCTGTCAAACGATTTGTAAATCTCTGCCTCTGCCCGCTGTTGGATCTGGGAGTTCTCTTCATACCCCTCTACCCCCCACCTGATGAGAACAAAATGCTTTGTCGACGTTCAGGTGCCGGTGGAGGCAGTCGATCAGGAGGCGACATGGTCATCCTTCGGCAGGTGAGTGCACGTTTAGAATCAGCAGCAACATCATTATTTGGCTGCTGCTGCTGCAATAAATTTCCACGTGGTGATGATGATAAGCCCACTTCGTTGGGCTATTACTTGTGTGTGGGCCAGGGTACACTTCTGATAGAGAGCGATGTTATTGATTAGTGGGTCTCTACTTGAGTTGGGCTATTATTTGTGTGTGGGTCAGGTACTGCTTCTGAAAGAGAGCGATGGTATTGATTAGTCGGTCTCTACTTAGTTGGGTTATCACTTGTGTGTGGGTCAGGTACTGCTTCTGAAATAGAGCGATTATCGATTAGTCGGTCTCTACTTCGTTGGGTTATCACTTGTGTGTGGGTCAGGTACTGTGTCTTGGAAAAGAAGAGCTATGTTATTACTCAACGGTTGCCATACCCGGTAAAATAAAAAAAAGTGTTTTTAGTTGAGTTTAATTAAATGTGTGCGGTTTCTCTGCTCATATCTTTGCACTGTTCGAGCAAAGTCCACCGTCTCGTTGTTTAGCCGACTATAGTCGTAGTAGGAATGATAATCAGGATAATTACGAACAAAGTTGGTAAAAAAAAGTACGTAAATGTACTACGGATCTTTTTGTGCGGAGTTGCATGCAGCCTCTTTAAGGTGCCGTGGCTTCGTGGCAGTTATTGATTGGTTGTTAATTTTGGTTGCCCAAACCCTCTGCTGGCGGTCGGGCCTGGCGGTTATTGGGGTCGTGCCTGACGGTTGTTGTTGGGTCGTGCCTGGAAATTGTTTGGTCGGAAGTGGCGGTTTTTTGCGGTCAGACCTGGTGGTTATTGGGGTTGGGCCTGGCGGTTGTTGGGGTCGAGCCTGGCGGGTTGTTGGGGTCGAGCCTGGCGGTTGTTGAGGTCACGCCTGGCGGTTGTTGGAGTCGCGCCTGGCGGTTGTTGGGGTCGAGCCTGGCGGTTGTTGAGGTCACGCCTGGCGGTTGTTGGGGTCGAGCCTGGCGGTTGTTGAGGTCACGCCTGGTGGTTGTTGGGGTCGAACCTGGCGGTTGTTGGGGTCGAGCCTGGCGGTTGTTGAGGTCACGCCTGGCGATTGTTGGGGTCGCGCCTGGCGATTGTTGGGGTCGAGCCTGGCGGTTGTTGAGGTCACGCCTGGCGATTGTTGGGGTCGCGCCTGGCGATTGTTGGGGTCGCGCCTGGCGGTTGTTGGGGTCGAGCCTGGCGGTTGTTGGGGTCGCGCCTGGCGGTTGTTGGGGTCGCGCCTGGCGATTGTTGGGGTCGCGCCTGCCGGTTGTTGGGGTCGAACCTGGCAGTTGTTGGGGTCGAGCCTGGCGGTTGTTGGGGTCAAGCTTGGCGGTTGTTGGGGTCGAACCTGGCGGTTGTTGGGGTCAAGCCTGGCGGTTGTTGGGGTCGACCTGGCGGTTGTTGGGGTCGTGCCTGGCGGTTGTTGGGGTCGTGCCTGGCGGTTGTTGGGGTCGAGCCTGGCGGTTGTTGGGGTCGAGCCTGGCGGTTGTTGGGGTCGAGCCTGGCGGTTGTTGGGGTCGCGCCTGGCGGTTGTTGGGGTCGCGCCTGGCGGTTGTTGGGGTCGAGCCTGGTGGTTGTTGGGGTCGAGCCTGGCGGTTGTTGGGGTCGCGCCTGGCAGTTGTTGAGGTCGCGCCTGGCGGTTGTTGGGGTCGCGCCTGGCGGTTGTTGAGGTCACGCCTGGCGGTTGTTTTCCAAGTGCTGCGCTTGTGAAGTGTGCAGTGATCCCAGTGGGCAATTCAGATGTCACACGCCACTGACAAAGGCATAGATCCACCTCCATATAGCTTGTAACAGGTTGATGGGGGCAAGTACTATTAGCAAGTAGCAGCACCTATGAAGGTCGGCAAGGTACACGAGAGGGTGGGTGGCTCAACATTACGCCTGGCCATCTCTGTATCCCCCAGTGGCAATATTTATACACCGCACCAGGTCCTCATTTGAGGCCGAGTCGACCTAGGGGTGGCCCATGACCGGTTAAAATAATTGTCACCCATGTTGTTCGGTCGTGAGCGGGAATCGAACTCGGGTTCGCCGGGTTCACAGCGCAGCGCGCTAACCGCAACACCAACGTTCCTCCTATCCTCCTCCACACGTGTCCCACCCATCACTACCTCTTGTTCCCGCCTGAAATGTTCTTACCCTATCCTACTCCTCCACCCTGCACACCACATGTCCCACCCATCACTACCTCCTTCTCCTATTCCCAACCAGGACGTGTTCAGATATCCCTCGTCACTGACATTAGCCACTGCCCCGAATCAAACTCAGGTAGTCGCCGGTTCAGAGTGCAGTGCGATAACCACCGCTCCTCCCGAAACTGTTATCACCATGAAATAAATCACCTCGCATTTCTTATCTCCTGATGGAAATAAAATAATGATTCATATTCTTAGGTTTTTTCGGTAAAGTCACGTAGGTAAAAAATTAAATTAATAAAAGTAAAATAAAAATTAAATAAAAATCACGACGTTTCGGAGGCAACACAAGCTTCCGGCTTCAGGTGGAACCGTCTCAACACGACTGCTGCTTCAAGTAAGAGATGCAGCAGTCGTGCTAAGACGGTTCCACCTGAAGATGGAAGCTTGTGTTGCCTCCGAAACGTCGTGATTTTTATTTTATTTTTATTTTACTTTCATTAATTTTAATCAACAAATTTGTTTTTTCACATACGTGACTTTACCGAAAAAACCTAAGAATATGAATCCTTGCAGTCACGAAAGCTTCAAATCTAGAAAAAATAATGATTCATTATTTCTGCCTGGTGGGGCTTGCATGCTGATTTTTTACCGGCAACGTTTGTTTAAACTCCCAAACTACGGACTGGGTTTTTGCCATTCTGCCGCTCATCAGCAGTCTCTGACTGATAAATAAACACAGCTGCTTGCCAACAAAAGTTATCGCTAAGTTCCCTCTCGCTAGACCACGGGCATTCGACAATATCTGGTAAACAAGGAACGAACTGGACACATCCAGTGCTGTCCCGTGGAGTATTTGTCCAACTCACATGTCTGCTGATGATGCCAACAAGGGTGAAACCAAGCAATTACAATAAGTCTCATCATCACCATTGTCATCATTCGAGTTTCACTTCAGCCGTGTCCGCTATACATATCCACGCGATAAGCCACTTCGTTGAGCTGTCATCTGTGGCCCAGGTCGGTTCTGAACAAAGAAGCTACATGGCTCAGTGGGCTTTACCTGGGATTTAACAAAATATATAGTTTTGTTTTATTTGTATTTCTATATTGTTAAGGGATTTGATTACCTCTCCTGTACTTTGCACTCCTATCGTATTTTTGTATTGGTTGTTGTTGTTGTGACCTTCTCACCCCGTGACATCTGTGAACAAAATAGCTTCATAGCTCATCGGATTCCTCCAGCAGTATAAAGACATATTCTGACATTTCCTCACCCGGCACACCACATCCAGTATCCCCATCTCACGCTGGGGGTTCTCCAAGTCACGTTTATCTTTTTTTTCGTGTAACCAGGAGATAAACTCGATAGAGAGAGAGAGAGAGAGAAAGACAGCGGTCAGGGGTTAAAATAATCACCAGGCTCACAGAAATGTGCAAAAAAGCCAACATTTATGCAACTGAAATGCAGCGAATTTGAAATCGGTGAAAAAACAGCAACAGCTGCTGTTGCTGCTGCGTCATCGTTGTCGTCACAGCGTGAACCCGATGGCTGTTACCATGAGTCACGTGCCTGCCACAGTCTGCCAGAGACCTCGAAAACATATTCGGTTGGCAAATGAATCCTTGAATGTCGTCGTTGTCGTCGCCATCACCGTCGTCACGTCTCCGACGATGAAACTATTCAGTGACAAATGAATGCCTGATTGTCGTAACTATCATCATCATCAACAACTTAATGTCTCCGACAATCAAAATATTTAGTGGCAAATTGAACCATGATTTTCGTCATCATGATCATCAACAACGTCATGTCTTCGACAATGAAAATATTCAGTGGCAAATTAATCCATGATTTTCGTCATCATGATCATCAATAGCGTCATGTCTCCGACAATCAAAATATTTAGTGGCAAATTAATCCACGATTTTCGTCATCATCAACCGCACGTCTCCGACAATGAAGGGGTCACAAGACGGACGGAAGGAGGAAGTCGGGGGAGAGGGGGGGTGAGCGCAGGCGAGGATGGATCGATTTAACCACCCGCACAGCCGTTACGCAAATTGGCAGTTCCACCGCAGGACGGCAAACACGACTTTTGTGGGCAGCCGGCTATTGTGACCGCTGCCAACTCCACGGTAACCACGAGATGGAGGCAAGAATCTGGTTGACGAACCTTTGTACCCAGCTGGCTTTTGACCAACTGGGATCCTTGTCAGACTCAGAATATTGATTTGCACTGGAGAAATCCGAAGCGCTATGAAGCTTTTTTGCACAGATGTCCCGGTAGTTTCACAGATCTCTCAGTAGTTTCACAGATGTTCCAGTAGTGTCACATATGTCCCAGTAGTTTCACAGACGTCCCAGTAGTTTCACAGATGTCCCAGTAGTTTTACAGATGTCCCAGTAATTTCACAGATGTCCAGTAGTTTCACAGATGTCCTCGTAGTTTCACAGATGTCCCAGTAGTTTCACAGATGTTCCAGTAGTTTCACAGATGTCCCGGTAGTTTCACAGATGTCCCAGTAGTTTCACAGACGTCCCAGGAGTTTCATAAATGTCCCAGTAGTTTCACAGATGTCCCAGTAGTTTCACAGATGTCCCGGCAGTTTCACAAATGTCCAGTAGTTTCACAGATGTCCCAGGAGTTTCATAAATGTCCCAGTAGTTTCACAGATGTTCCAGTAGTTTCACAGATGTCCCAGTAGTTTCACAGATGTTCCAGTAGTTTCACATATGTCCCAGGAGTTTCATAAATGTCCCAGTAGTTTCACAGATGTCCCAGTAGTTTCACAGATGTCCCGGCAGTTTCACAAATGTCCAGTAGTTTCACAGATGTCCAGTAGTTTCACAGATGTCCTAGTAGTT